AGTAGGTGCCATTCCTGTCCTACAGGTTGCATTAGGCAACTCCGACTCGTAGGTGACTGCAAATAGCGTCAGTCTTCACGTGATTGTAGCAGTAGAGCGTATATTATGATTACACCCAGTCCTGTCGTACAGGTCGCATTAGGTGACTCCGACTTGTGTGTTAGCATAGATTGATGATCACCTTATTTTACTTATATTACTGTTGAGATTTTGTGATTTTGGATGTCCTGCACTTAGTTACGAGATATTGTGCTGTAATGAATTCTTGAGATTATCAGGCTACGGTAAGTATTTTTATACTATACATAGTAAGTATATTTTGGAAACTATACTTGTTTTACGACAAGGGGTTACAATGTTTTAAGAAAGGTTTTTATAAAGCTTTATTTTCAGGTCCACTCACCCTTGTTTTTCGCCCCTCCAGGTTTTAATAGCTGAGCTTTCTTATCGACGAGGATTCGTGGCAAATCTTGGTATTGGAGATTACCTTCAATGGTATGATTCTCAATCCACTCTACTGTACTTTACTTATGCTCTGACATCACGTGTGAAATGGGTTTATTCTCGTTCATAGCGCTCTTATATATTTTGGCACTTTTAGGTTTAAATTTATTCATATTTTCCTCATCATTACACTTTATGACTTTATCAACTTCTAGGTGTCAGCCAACACACCTCGATTCAGAGTCCTAGGGGACTTTCCGGGTTGATATGTGTCACTTGAATCCCTTATTTTATTTTAATTTTCTATAAGCATTTCTAACTTTCTATGTATTTAGCAAATTGGCAGGCTATCCATCCTTCCAATCCACAATATTTCCCATGTTTGAACCACGCTAACTATGCTTTAAGATGACAGTAACCACTCATCTAGGCCTGATCCACAATATTTCCCACAATATGAACTGCAACCATTTTATTGGTTATCATTGAAACATATTCCAAATTTGATGTGTTTGTATTTGGACCCATATTATTGGGCTTGGGTCGAGTGTGACTTTGAGCTCGGCCCAAAAGGAAAACTTTCAGGTGAACATTATCCATTCTAAAGTTAGATGGCAATTGGCCTGTTCCTGGCTATAGTGAAACAAATGTGCCTCGATTTCATCTTATTTGCAAGAAACCCATCTGATATGGGCTGGGTTGGACGGGAATTAATAAAGGTTATGAGGGTAATTTTGTCTCTGACCAGATTTCCATATGTTTACGGTTTTACTAGTCTATTCTAAAATGGGCCCTCTATTTTACATTATTTACATTTCTGCCATTGTTTGCGGATGTGCTTCATCTTTGTTATAATTAACCCTTTCTCTTTCTCCCAACTCTCCATCTCTCTCAACCCTCACCATCTTCCCCTTCTTCGTAAAACCCAGAGGCCAAGAGGCCTGAGACCACATCACAATTCGCCACTTCGGCAAGCCTCAACTCCATCAAACAACCACTAGCTCTCTAGACTCCCCTTTCTTTCTTTGAATTGGTGGCTTTGAAGGTGACTGTGAGAGAAAGAGAATGGGTCGTCGGGATGCGGGGAGAGAAACAGAGAGGGAAGAGTGGGGATCGTGAACAGCCGTCGTTCCTCAGTCTAGGATTCACTCATAATGGTTTATACTCTGTTGCACCTTTAGATGAGTCACTTCTTGCTTTTGATTTTGGACTCAAATCTTAATATTTTATTATTTCTTGCATTTATATCTGCTTGCATATTCAGATGAGTCAGTTTGTCCTTTCGATTTTGTACTCAAATCTTAAGAGGGTGTAGTCAAACTAAGATTTTAAAGGATTTTAAAGGATTTTAAAGTGATAGATTGGATAGGATTTAAGAGGATTAAGGACTCCTACAAAATTCATATGGATTTTAAATAATTTGAATGGATTGTGGTGGATTGTGGGGGGAAGGATTTGAAATCCTAGGGGGTGAGGTTGGATTCTTTTTAGTTTTGGTTATACATACTTTTTGCTTTCAAATCCCACAAAATCCACAACTTACTGAAATCCTTCAAAATCTTAATTTTTTTAATACACTTAGATTTGGATGGATCCTTTAAAATCTTTTAATTGACTGCACCTAGATTTTAATGGATTCTAAAATCTTTTAATTGACTACACTAGGATTTTAAAGTCTTTTAAAATCCTCTCAAATCCAAGTTTGACTACACCCCTCTTAATATTTTATTATTTCTTGCATTTATATATGCCTGCATAGTCACTTTGTCCTTTTGAATTTGTGCTCAAATGTTAATATTTTATTATTTCTTGCATTTATATCTGCTTGCAGGTTCGCTTTGTCATTTTGATTTTGTACTCAAATCTTAATATTTTATTATTACTTGCATTTATATCTGCTTGCATGTTGTGATTGAGAGGCCAGAATTAGTTTACAAATCTTCCTGCACTGTTTTGTTAGGTTAGGTAGCATGCTTTTCTCTTTCTTTTAATCGATTTAGGGATTTTTTGCCCCTCTATATATTCATTTGCTCTCAGTTTTGTTTCTTAGGTTCCTCTGTATTTCTATAACCGTTCAAAGGTCCTTTTTATTCCTTTTTGTAGTTTTGTCTATTATTATGTCTAGCCTTCCATTTCAATTCCAATGTTCTTAAATTGTATGCATCTGTGTCTCTATGTATGCATATGAGGTTTTGCATCGACTTCTCTGCTTCCTAATTTTAATGCAATTTTTTTTATTTCAATTGTTTCAAGACGAGAAGACTGATTATTCTCTTATTTTTATGGATTGCAGGAAACGCCCTGCTAACTCAGGATTTTGCGTTGCAGGTTTCATTTGCTAACCCTAACTTTTTAATGTTGTGCAGCAATTACTGTTTGTACGTTCATTTGTTGTGTTGTTGTATTGAATATTTTTGTCTTGTTCTACAAAATGTTTTTCATTTTGTCTTTATTTTTCAACAACAAAGTGATTAATTAAGAGTCTTTGTAGATTAATCTGCGTTTCATTTCCCGTGTGTGTCTATCTTTTACCAATTGGTTTCAAATATGTATATGTGTGACTCTGTTGAGAAAGGTATCATGTTGCTGTGCATGTTTTGCATCTTCCACTTTGGTTTGACAATTAAAAAAAAAGGTGACATGTCTTATTAGGCAGTTTAGATGTCAAAAATTGTTTCCATACCAAACTTGAGCTGTACATATATGTTACCTGTGACAGCCCGTCTCGAAATATATTTTCGATGGTGTGAAATGACTTTTATGCCCTTTAATCGTTGATTTGTGTTGTGTGGTTTAAGCTTTGGATTTGGACCAATCCTTTTTATTCCTAAGCAATTGGAACTTAAAAATTTTATTTGTTTTGTTTGAGTGGCCAAATCTAGACCACACACACACACACACTCACAACCGTTGACTCTTTCTCTCCTTCCCTCTCGAGTTTTCTTCCATTTCCATACAATGTTGGCACGTGACTGTGCATGAGTGATCAGAAAATTTTTCTAAAATTATGGGGATGTTCTTGAGGTTGAGTAGGCCACGTTGGTATATTCAAACACCCCAATTGAGCAATGTATGAGAAGTTATTACCTAATTTTGGTTATGTGCTTTAAAATAATGTTTAAATAGTTGTTTCGCATATAGGTCAGGCCTATCTTGAGGAAGAGCGTAGTCAAGCGAGACTCGGGGTTACTACTTTTGCGCCCCTCCAAGTTCTAGTTAGGAGTGCTTGTTGGTGGCTTACGAGGAATTTACGGCAGCTCTGACATATTATCACCAATGTAGGATCACCTTTGGGTGTTGTATAATTAGTATTCGTCTTACTGGATTGCACTTAGGCTACTTGTGCTCTAGTTGGTTTGGTTTTTGTTTATTTGCATTCCCTATATTAATATTGTTTCCACACTCTACACATGGCTACGTCACCCTCACGTGACGGCCAGCATGCCTCGATCTAGGTCGGGGTGTGTCATTACCCGTTGCTTAGTATTTATTTATAGGGTTGCTTACTATTTATATATAGCACGAAAACACATTAGCTGATACAAGTTGCAAACAACCAAAAAAATGACAATTGAAAACTCCAACGAATTATCGTGCCTATTCGGTAATGACACGGAGTTTCTCGCAATGAGGTGCAGACCCCATTCCCTTCACATAGGTATAGAAACCATCATGTTTTTTTTTTTTTTTTTTTTTTTTTTTTTTTTTGCAATCGTTAAGGCGATAACATGGCTTGCAAGACATGTATTTTGTCAAATTGCATGCACACACAAAATATGTGTGGACTACATGTTGCTTAAGTTCCTTATGTTAAAACAATATTTTGTTGTGAGTATATTTTTGGTTATGTCAAACTTCTAAATAGCACTTTTGAATGTCAATGGACTGATTATGTAAAGTTAATTCGATATAACTGCAAGCTAAACTACTTATGCTACCACAATGGTTAACTTTTGTGTTTGGTTTTCACATTATGTTGAACCATTTCTGTTAGTTTATGCTTTTTTAAATTTGGCTAAGTTGGGTTCTATATTTTGTAGACTAATATTGCTTCTACCTTCAGGTGGTTTGATGTAGATTTTGTGGGTCTTTAGATAATGGTGATTCATAATTACACATATTTATTGGAATTAAACTTGCAATCCGCACTATATGCATCATCAAATCTTATTCTAAGGCTGCTGACATTTCATTATAATTTGGTGACACGTGCTATCATCAATAATTTGTGTCTTTTTCTATTAGAATGATTCATGCATGTCCGACATTATGATTTCAAACCCCCACAGCAGCACGCGGGCAATTTTCTAGTTATCTATTCTAAAGTTGAGGAGCAATTAACAGTAGCTTAGCTACAGTCAATTGGTTGCCCCTCGATTTTGCCTTATTTACATCATTACCATCATATCTATGGCTGGGTTGGAAGGTAATTATCAAAAGTTAGGAGGATGATTTTGTTCGTATGGTTTGGGACGGATTGGGTGGCTTAGCGCAAACAGAGGAAGATGGAGAGACACATTGTTGTCATTCGGTGAGGGTTTCGGGGATGGGAGGCCATGCCTCTCGGATAGAGATAGAGATAAAGGGAGAAAGGGTGAGGGAGAAAGGGTGAGGAGACAGAGGAATAGATTACAAATTTGTTAAGAAAAGTTGGTTATGATGAAATTTCATTCTTAAAAATCCATCAAATCATGCTTAAATTTGTGATTTTTGTAAGTTACTGAATTAGGAGACGTTTTCTAGTGGAGAAAACATCGCAGCGCAGAGGAAAATTAGGTTTTGTTTTGCAATTTGCACCACCAAAATATGTATGACTTGTTCATCTTTGTACGGTTGTCTGTGTAAAAATACATTATGACCTAATTTCATTTGTTTCTCTTTCTAAAGTTTTTCACCAAACAAACAAATCATAAGCAACTTTTTTTTTTTCCAATTTTTTTCTTGCTTTTAATGATCATGAGGTTTGTAGATCGAAGGTATAAAAGTAATGTTCTTTCGTAACATATAAAATTACTAAGTTGTGTTACATTTTCCCTTCTATTTTTTTCATCAATTTGCTTCTGATTCATGTTTTAACGTGTATTGAATAATTTTCAAATTAACGACTGGTTCTTGCAGCCACGTGAAGAGACTGACTATTCAAGCTTTGCAACTTAATTCAAGGGCGTTAATCAGTATATAAGGCTATTCCATTTGTAATGCTTATTACTTGCACTTCTAGCTTTCCCCTTATTAAGAAAACTTTATTAATTGCAATTGTTAAATGTTATTAGGGTGAGAAAGAGATCATCGATTTGAAATGAGCTTTTTATGTAAGTAATTTATCCACTCATTCACCTCAAATTATTTTTCTTCATAGGCACAACTCTTTAATTCTTCTGCTTCTTCATCATACTTTGAACTTCATTCTATTTTCAGCTTTAAGTTCTGGATGACAAGCTATACACAAGAAGGTAAGCTATTTTAGTTTTTTTTTCCATATTCGGAATATCCCCAATTTTGAAATTTTAGGGATTTGATTCATTTTTGTTGGTCCAATTGGGCCGTTAATTGACATAAAAGTATGGCCTATTACAGAATGGCCACAAAGATAATGATGTGACTTAATGACAAGCTATTAGTTGATAGGCCAATCTGGAAGTGTATTTGCATATGAGGATATTAATCATACACAGAAATATAGATTGTATGTTTTAAACCGTATTGTATCTACATTACAGCATTATACACTGCACGTCTATTTGTATAAAAGTCATTCAACTGGTGATTCAAGTAGTATATTGCTTATTTTATTTTGTTTGTATATATGTTTTACAATTAAATCGTTAGTTTAGTATATATGATTTTCTCCAGCAATTTTTTTCATGATTATGCATCTGTACATAAAATAGTTGAGTTTTAGTTTGTCTGCTTCATGAGATCTTTCTACATAGCAATCTTTTGTACTCATTAAATTTTTTTGTTTGAGTTCATATGATGTGCTTATAGGATCCTGAGGTTTTAAATATAACAAAATATTTGACGTAAATTTTTCTGTATGGATATGGTTTGAACTTCACAGTTGATGTCATAAGCAGGCACACACAGAGAAGAAAGAGGTAGAAAAAAAACAACTCAGATCTTTTCTTTATTGTTGAGTTAGGTTGGAGAACAGGCTTTTGTGGCTTCTAGAGCTGATTTTCTCTCTTTTATGCCAGAGCGATTGACTTCTTTGCTCTCTCTCTTGCTCTATTTGAACCAGCTCTCGCCTTTTTACTTTTTTCTCACCAATTGCTCTAGACTTTCAACTCTCAAACATCTCAGGTCACATGCATGGAATAATGATGGATTTTTCTTGGGGTGATTTTATTGTTTCCTCTTTTGAAATTTGTGTCTATTAGATTGTTGTTTTTCAATTTAAATTTTACTCTTTTCCAACTTTCGCTTCACTGAAGAAATGACAAAGATTTTTCTTGAAGTCATTTCGTTGTTTGTTTTCCTTTGGAGGATTGTTGTGATTCAGTTGGTACTATTGAGATCTACCCATGTGTCAATGAGCATGCTCATTTTTGTGAATGCGAAGCATGCCATTGGTGATGCAATATGTCTAGCCAATATAGAGATGATCTTTTAAAGTTAAAGATGGATGTAGATGGGTTGCATGTCCGATTTGTGTTTTTTTTTTTGCACCTATGTTGGTGTTCCCTGCTGCTAATTGTTGCAAAATTGTGTCTATTAGATTGTTGTTTTTCAATTTAAATTTTACTCTTTTCCAACTTGCGCTTCACTGAAGAAATGACAAAGATTTTTCTTGAAGTCATTTCGTTGTTTGTTTTCCTTTGGAGGATTGTTGTGATTCAGTTGGTACTATTGAGATCTACCCATGTGTCGATAAGCATGCTCATTTTTGTGAATGTGAAGCATGCCATTGGTGATGCAATATGTCTAGCCAATATAGAGATGATCTTTTAAAGTTAAAGATGGATGTAGATGGGTTGCATGTCCGATTTGTGTTTTTTTTTTTGCACCTGCGTTGGTGTTCCCTGCTGCTAATTGTTGCAAAATTGCTTCATAGGTGTTTCACGCCATGTTATCATCAGGTTTGATGCTTTTTTTTTTCCTTTTTATGAATTGTGTGACTGGCATCTTTTGTTTGCGCCACCTTGCTTTTTCTTTATTATTTATTTCTTCATCTCTTTTGTCCAAAAAATTTATGGACTAAGGATCCTTAATCTCTTGCTTCGCAATAAATTTTATGTTTAGATTTTTACAGTGATTAAGTCGATTTAAGTTATGTGGGCCAATGTTTACATGATATGCTGTGTTTGTTTCTAGATTTTGTTTGCTTGGTTACCATATTGGTTTTTATCTTTTTTTGTTAAATGGTTATTTTTCGTTAAATGGTTAGGTTCATTCTTGCACGAGAGAGATTTGTGTTTTTGCCATCAAACTGGTAGAGAGGGGTCTTAATTAAATATCATGACGTAGTGTTATTTTGTTTGCATCTATGGAACCATACATTTACTTCGTTCCACACTTTTTTAGTAATTGTTTTTTACTTGTTTGGAATTATTTTTTCCAAGCTTAATAATCATAGCAAAGCCTTTTCAAACAAATTTTTTTTAATGTATTGTGAAATGGATAATGGCATAAAAAAAAAATGTTGAGGGTATCTTGACACACTATAATAGGTCTTCTTTTTTGGCAAGTTTGTGTTTCTTATTCGCATTCATGATTATGAAATCATTTACATTTGCTTTCTCATGATATCTCATAAATTGGATGTGAATATATTTATTGTATTTCTTCTGGGTTTTTTCCGTTTTATATTTTAAATATGTTTAAGGTTGAAGGAGTCAGCGATGAAATTTTGGATGCCAAAGAGAAGAAGCCTGGTATTATTTCTTCACTTCTTTTTGAGTGAGCATCTCTTTTATTTCTTCTAATTTTGCTTCTTTCTTTTGTTGTCAAATGTTTCAAAATTTCAACTCACATGTTCGTGTCATTGTTAAGAAGTGTTTTTTGCCATTACTAGGCCATCATTTTGTCTTCTATTTTTTTCGTATTGTTTTTCACAAAACCAAATCATCATAGCAAAGCTTTTCCAAACAATTTTTTTAATGTGTTGCGAAATGGATGATGCAATAAAAAAAATATGATGCGAGTATCTTTGCACGCTATAATAGGTTTTCTTTTTGGCAAGTTTGCGTTTCTCATTTTCATTTACATTTGTTTCTTCATAATTTCTCATAAATTGGATATCATTGTATTTATTGTATTTAACTTTTTTAGCCAAGCAAATGATTTCATTGAACAACAGATGCATCAATTACATGCTACAAGTGTACAATAGTGAAGGCATTACGATGCCTTCAAATGATCGCTTTCTTTTGTCTTTTCTTTTCTTTTTTTGTTTTTGACATATTACATTAGATTTTAGATTTTATTATATTTGATGAAGTTCTCGATTAAGAGCAATTACGCTTGCGTTATTGTTCAAGACTAGTAACTGTAATAGTACAGTGTGCCAGATTCTCTTATTTACATCTGAATTTGAACGGTTTATTGTATCATATAGGAAAGATGAAAAGGGAATATGAGATGATATTGAAGAAAGCCTTGCAAAGCATCTGCTTGCTTAATTCAGATGCCACAACTTCGGTTATTTTTTAGGTGAGGTGTTATGTTTGTATGAAAATGTGAGTCTCAAATATTTTAAGCATTGTGTCGGCAACTTGAGATGGTTGTAAAGCAGTGCATGTAGCATTGGTGCCTTTTACTTTACATGTGTATTTGTTTCGTTCGAACTAAAATTACAGTGTACATTTTTATGCCAAAGACAAGTTAAGAACTTTGGAGCCTGATATTCTTTGTTAGAATTTCAGTTACAAAACTAGGGAGGGATCCTGTCCATTTATGATTCAATGTAGAAAGATTGGGATGGTAAAGATTTCTAGGGTGTTTTCTAGGTTGTTTTTGGACTGCATTAATTTCTTGCAAGACCGCATTAAAAAGCATTTTTTTCAGTCACACATTATAGAAGCACTTCGTTTTGATTTGTAAACAAACTATATGCTTTATCTTTGTCTTAAGTTATAGTATAACGTTTCATGATTGAATTTGTAAGATGGTTTAGCAATTTTTTCACAAGCTTGCTATTCCTACCAGATGCTTAAGTATTGTCCTCTACTTTTTTGTTTTCCTTTTTCTGTGTTTTTCTCAGGTGGAGTGGGTTGATTACTTGAAACTATAAGTATAATATTAATGGCACAATACGATCTACAAATGAATGTTCTCACACCATGCATATCCATGTATAGCAAGCAAAGTATCACTTCATTGGTTCTTAGGTACTGAACCGTCTTAGTTACTTTGTGTAGAAACTATTCATGCATGTTCCGACTAATACATTAAATCCCTGCAACGAAGCGTGGGCACATTTTCTAGTATGTTCTAAGACCGAGTCCAGCCCTAAGAGAGATTGACGAATCCTGATCGGTGTTTGACTTTTTAGGATTTAGGATTGGATTCAGTTGAGTCCCAAATTTTGAGTAAAATTGTTAAGGATCAGAATGGACAATAATGAGATTTGTAATATTCCAAGAAACATTATTCATAGCTGATCAAGATCTAGAATGGATTAAATATAGAAAAGGCCGGGTTCAGAGTCCTAAGTCTAGTAGGATTAGCTGAGCTTCACGAAAAGATCATGATAGTTTGATACCAAGGAAGCATGGTATGAATTGGACTTTGCTACTGCATGAGGTGGTTATCTTGAAGAGTTACTCCTATAACTAGAAGAGGGTCTCCAACATCCAAGGCACCCTCAACTCAACAAACAAGCTTCTGCTCTGCACAATTTCTCGCTCTACACGAATCATTCTCATATTTGAGAAAAACATTGACCCTCCTAACTTTGTTAAGCACATCTTTGAGTTTGTATAAATAGCATTGTGGTTGACAACCAGCTACATCTTACAATTTCTAGAAACAACACTAGAGCCGTAGAGTCAAGTGATCAAGGAGCACCTTCCAATTTGTAGAAACATCATTATTCCGAGTTTGGTTGACTATCTATCTAAGTCTCTATCAGCGAAGAATCTTTGAGTCCTTGTTAGAAGATCTCATTAGCTTCTCAGCGAATGAGGTGTTACCAGGTTATATTGTTTGGCACATTGAAAACACTACCCATTTTATGATTGGATACTCACAAGTGCATTTTAGAGTTCGGCATTCCGACGGCCCAACCACATTTATAGTCGAGACACTTAATTCTTTTGAGTAGTTGTGTTATATATTCTGATACCGATTCAGTGCACTTATATTTTAACGAGTATAATTGAAGTAACCGAACCATATGCAAATGATCCTTGAACTTTGCAGTAACTAGCAGCCTTGTCTTCAAACTCTAGAACTCGAAGGCCGAGACGAGTTCTTTCCTCGACCACAATCATTCGGATAAAAAGTCAACAACGCATTCAACACCACCGCCACATTCATTTACTTATTCGCCAAGCTTGATCGATGAGTTGGCATGCCCCACAATCATCCAAAGGACGTTAGTTCATTAGCTATTCGGCCTGCGCACACATAGGCTTGGTAATTTTTAGGGTCAAAAGTTGTTAGAGTATATAGGATATGGATGGTGTGGATCATGACACATGTTATTAGCCAAATAGATAAGGCAGTTAGCTCAATACCTCATCTATATAACAATTGTACCTTTGTAACAATTCAATTAATCAAGAAAATACATGCAATTCACTCACCCACTTTCTCTCTCTCTAAACCTTTTATGTTTCCTTTTTCTTCTTCCTCTGTGACCTCTTTGTTCTCTTTCTGCATATTGCTTAACATCGTATCAGAAGCTTGATCAGCTTCTTCGATCTTTTCTTTTGCTTCTGCCACACAAAATTCTTTCTTCTTTTGTCTTGTGGGTGTATCAAGATTAACTAGTTCTTCATTCTTCGCTCTGACAGTTTATGCACACCAGGTGTTTGAGTATTTCCTCAGACAGATTTCTCTACAATTTTCTGAAATGGTATCTACGAATCAACTTCAAATCTTGCAATGACCAATCATTGGATTGATTTCATCCATTTCCACATCCGTTACTGTGAAACTGGACGAGACCAACTATCTACAATGACGTTTTCAGATGCAGTTGATGCTTGAAGTCCATGGAATTATGGGGTTCGTTGACGGATCAAATCTCTGTCTTGCTCAGTTTTCTTCTACTTCTTTAGGAGTTTCAAAGGTAACATCTGGTACTTCATCTTCAAGAATTGAAATTGATGAGTACAAAGTCTGGAAAATGCATGATCATTCCTTGATGTTGTTACTTACTACCACACTTTCTTCATCCGCTATTTCCTGTGTGATTGGTAGAAAGAGGTCTCAAGAGATGTGGGTTCATCTTCAAAACCAGTTTTTCTTACCAAGTACAAAAACCTATATAATCAAATTACAGACTGAGCTTTATAACATTAAAAAGGGATCAAATTCAATATCCCAGTATCTTCAAAGAATTAAAGAAGCAAGGGATGGACTTTTTATTCTTGGTATCACACTTGCTAATGAAGACTTTGTGATCATTGTGTTAAATGGACTCCCTAAAAAATACAACACATTTAAATGTGTACTCAGAGGGCGTGAGAGTATCATTTCACTTAAGGACTTTCATGCACAATTGCTCACTGAGGAAGCCATTGTGGATTGTGCTCTTGTTGAATGTGAGACAAAAGGTTCTTTCTTTCCTCTCTTTAGCTCTCAATTTCATGCTGGCTTCAATGGTGATTATCATGCTCAATCCAATTTTTGTTCATGCCAGTCAAGCTATGGTATTAATGTTGATAGTTATAATGGAATTCTTGGCTCACCTCTATCTCCATATCCTAGTTCTCTGTCACCTGAAATTACTACATGTCAAATTTGTTCACATAAAGATCATCTTAATGCCCATTGTTCTGCTCAAACTACCAACTCATCTATTACATAAGATCCAAACTTGCAGGATTAGGTTCGAGTTTCTGATTCAACGGAGTCAATTAAGACGGACTCTGTTATGGTCAATTCTTTCTCTCATTTCCTTGAATCTTCCCTGCCACTTAATTCCACAACAGGAGCTTCTATCAATGCTTTAAAGCAGAACGATCATGATAAAACAATTATAATGAAAATCCAGGAGCAGCCAACTAGTTCTGTTGATGCAGAAAAACAAGTTTTGGAATGTATTGACAAGGAAAGTGCAGACTCTCAATTGATTTCAGTGGGTTTACAATCGTGTATTCAAGTGACATTTCCAGTCTTAACTCTGACAACAAGGTGAAAATTGGAATTCCTACTCAAACTGTTGTACATGAGTTCCGAGGATTTTATGTACTCGGTTATGCAATGGTGGAAGTATATTTGATATTCAGTTAGGATACCATATGAGAATTCTTTATAAGGGTGGGGGCACCAAGTGTATGTTGATTTGGGTACTGTGGTATACACGATATAATGATAAAATACAAGCTCCAAATGCTAGGAGGTTTTCTTATTGCAGAGTATGTGTGTAGTAGTGATCAGATACTCCACTCTCCAATTGCAAGGAATACTATCCAAAAAAAGAGTTTAGATTGCCAGATACTCTCCAACTGCAACAATCTCATGCTTGGACCACCATGAGCTTGCGGGTGGATGTTAGAGTATATAGGATATGGAGGGTGCGGATCATGACACATGTTATTAGCCAAAAAGATAAGGTAGTTAGGAGTGTGGCTGTTAGAATAATTAGTTAGGATTGTTGGTAAGGGATTGAGTCGGTTAAGGTAGTTAGCTCAGTACCTCATCTATATAGCAACTGTACCCTTGTAACAATTCAATTAATCAAGAAAATACAAGTGCAATTCACTCACTCTCTCTCTCTCAACCTTCTCTGTTTCCTTCTTCTTCTTCCTCTACAACCTCATCTCTTCCTGCATATTGCTTAACAACAATTTCACTTTGCCAAAAAATAATAAAATCAATTTAACATATATTTTTTCTCTAGGAAAACCCAAAAAATAATATGCAAGAAATAATAAATTAATATTTTCGGTCTAAAAAAATAATCCTCACTGTCTCTAAGATAAGTATTAGGTATTCAATTACTCTATATAAAATGATATATTTTTCCATGTCTTTCCACTTATTTTACGACACATAAAGTATCTACTTAAATACCAAACAATTAGTACAAATTCTGAACCTGGAGGGTGGTAAGTTGGTAACCTAATTCCAAAAGCACAACCTTCTTTTGGTTAGTGATGAGTCGATATTATACTATATATTTTACCCTAATCTTAGTAATAATTTATTGGTTATTATGTGTGAATTTTGATACTTTTAATTATATTTCTAATGTAGGACATTTGAAATCCTCTGGAATAAAAAGTGATCACACGGATGAATTTTGGAGTAATTCTAATTGGAGGATGTTTGTGAGTCTTTCAAGATGATTGTATCACAGTTTCATATTTTTCTACTTAGCCACTTCACCTGGCGATGAAATAAAGGCCCAGCGCGCAGCTTTCCTAGATTGAAGTTTATGGACATTTTGGGTATTTTGAAGGTCAAGAGGGCATATTTTGAGGAAGATTTCTTCTAAGGATTTGTAGGGGACAACTTCAGCTTTCAAAAGTGACCTTTTGGGACCAAATTGGAGTTGATTTGTTTAGTCAAAAGTCTGATTTTCTGAGAAGTCCGAATTTTAGTTCAAATAGGAAACCTTTTATTTTATGTGTTATTATTTAATTATGTTTCCTAGTTTTACTCTTAAGACTTTTTAGGGTTTTATTTTGTATTAGTATAAATAAAATATTTAGCCATTAGGGTTAAGTAGGAGAAGAGAGGAGAAAACGCACGCACACTTTAGAGAGCTTTTGGATTGAAGTTTATTTTCAAGGTGTTTTCTATCCTTGTTTTTAATAATGTTTCGTTGTATGATTCCTAGTAACTAAATTCCGTTTGCTAGGGCGAGGCCACGAGCCTTAGCAAGAATATGTAGTTTCTTTTCAATTTGCTTATGATATTATGTATGACACACCCCGACCCGGAATGTCCACTAGGACCCTGAATCGAACTGTGCTAGCCAACACCTGGAAGGTGACAAAGCCATAAAGTGTGATAATGTATAAAATGTGAATAAATTAAAATCTAAAACTTCCTAAGTACACGAGTGTGCAGTGAGCGGGTCTGGACCCATTTCACGCATGATACAGAGCATAAGTAAAATACAGTAAGGTAAGATAATGATTATACCATCAAAAGAAGCCACCTACACTGGGAAGTGCCACGAATCCTCGTCAATACGGAACTCTGCTGCTAGAACCTGGAAGGGTACAAAAACAGAAAATGTGAGTGAGTGAAACAAAACTCTTCAAACCAATTCCAACTACCAAGATAGTAGCACCTCGCCGCAATACCTGTTTAATTTCCCAGAAAATAATAGGCGTGACTATAAATCAAAACCATAACCAAAATGATAGTCTTACGATTATGCTACGTCAAATATCTTAACAGGAATGAGTAACCCAGGTGAAATAAACCAATAGGAAATGGCGTGTTAGCCGGATCCACCCATCATGTACGCTTGAATCAATATATCATCCCATATATGCTAGCATCTCATCACATATCTCATCATAAATATATACTAGCATCTCATCATATATCATCACATATATGCTAGCATCTCATCACATATCTCATTATAAATATATGCTAGCATTTCATCACATATCTCAACATAAATATATGCTAGCATCTCATTACATATTTCATCACATATAGGCTAGCATCTCATTACATATCTCATCATAAATATATGCTAGCATCTCATTACATATTTCATCACATATAGGCTAGCATCCCATTACATATCTCATCATAAATATATGCTAGCATCTCATCACATATAGGCTAGCATCTCATTACATATCTCATCATATATCATCACATATATGCTAGCATCTCATCACATATAGGCTAGCATCTCATTACATATCTCATCATAAATATATGCTAGCATCTCATTACATATATGCTAACTCATAAGTCAGAGTCACCTCTAGTGACCTGTATGACTTATTCATATCTCATCACATGTCTCATCAATCATGGTTATGATTAGCATATAAGTCGGAGTCACCCAAAGTGACCTGTACGACTTATCCATATCTCATCAATATACTAGCCGGAGTCACCTCACGTGACCTGTACGGCTGAATCAATATCTCATCAACATACTCACTACCATCACTATCATCAATATGTACTCACCTGAAGCTTACCTAGGCATCCGCAGCATCATTTGGCACTTCGAAGCATTCACAATAATTAGGTACAGGTAATACACATATGAAGATGTCATGATGCAATCTAAAACTCAACTATAATATAGTATTTTCAAGTATATATATAACATGGCGTGAAATGCATAATCTGTAACGTCCCATTTCCAAACTATTTATTTTCGGGAACAACTATCGATGATAAGCCCAATTAGACACTAGTTTAATTAGCTAACATTACTTACGTTTCCTTACTTCAATTCCTTGATTCTTCACACATTGATTTATGAACAATAATTAACTACCAAATCATAAGGTTAATTCTCACATTTTTCACCAATGTCCCTCACATTGTTCACTTCCCCAAACAAGGCTGTTATCCCAATTATTTAGTCTCATTTATTATATGGCTGCATCTAATGTCTTGTTAGACTGCTTACGTACTCTAAACAAGGATCAAGCCATTCGTAGTTCACAATAGTACTTCAAAGCATTCACAATAATTATACGCAATAAGCAATTTTATAAACGTTGTGGAATTGTCAATCACACACACACACACACACATATATATATATAATGTACGATAAAAAGGAAAAGACCCACTTACCTGAGGTCCGCGCTACGACTCCCTAGCACACATATCGAGACATCATGAACCATCGTCGCCTATGACCAATTATCAATTCATATTTCAAAGTTCTTACTGATAGAATACATAATTTACATAAAACACATCGCTATGTAATTCAATTTGGAAGATCCGCATCATGGATTTCTGATCCGTTGCTTCCAAAGATACACATTATACTTCTAGAACAACATTCTAAAGTTTCATTATGATCCAACGGTCGGATCTCCGCCAGTTGCCAAAACCAAGTGGTGGTCAACATTTTATTTTTTGAACTTACAATTCCAATTTCAGGAAGATCCGTATATCGGATTCTCGATCCGTAAATTCCTATGATATTCAAATATTATGTATTATAACATATTAAAGTTTGGTGACAATCCAACAGTCGGATCATCGATTCATGTTTTTACCAAGTAACATATCATAAGAAATTTAGGTTCAAACGATCAACCAATGTCATACTAACATCAAAACTGAACTCAAGATCGACGACCCTCTAGCCACGCACCGCTGCAGGTGGAGGTCCGCCGCCCCAACTCACCGGAAAAATCAAGTATTTCTAAAAGTTCTCAAACTTCACAGAAATGAAGATCTCATTGAGTGAAACAACTTTTATACCTGTGACTAAGGCTAATTTGGCCGTGAAGCGCTCCAATTTCACTCAAATCCACCGGAAACCCAAGAATGGGTGTTCTTCGATTCTCCTTTCTCAGTATTCCAACGTCCTTATAACTATTTGGGTCTTATTCCTAGGTCCAAGGGGACTTGATTAAGGGTGGTAATGGGTGGTGAAACTCGCCGGAAAGGAAGAATCGTCGTTGAGCACCTCTAGTGCTTCGGTGAAATTCCTCTCGGGTTAGGACCTAAAAACCCTTAAATATAGATGGAGATGGTAGAGGGAAGGGTATGGAAGAGGTTACAGGTGATGAAGGGGTGAAACTTGCTTGAAAAATGGCGGAGGACTGCCGGAAATCCACCACGGTCGAAGCCGGGTTTTTGTGTATGTATGGCTACGAGAAAAGGAAGGGAAAGCTGAGAGCTTTCCTCTCTCCTCTCTTAATTGGTTGAAAAATTATTATTTTATTCTTTTCTCATCTAATTGGTCCCTATTTTCTATCCTTGAAGCTGATTGGTTTCTTTCCCACAAGGTGGGAGTTCAATAATTTAGTAATCTGAAATGTAAGTAACCAATTTCAAACATCTGTAACTATACTGTTATAATCCGGACCCACAAATGGCTTTCGACTATGCGTTCGTATCATCGAGTACTACGCAAATACGCCAAAAGAATAAGTCATACGTTCTTCTAGAAGATGGTCAACAGAAATCAAAATCCTTGCCTCTAAACATTTTGTCAATTCCCTCAATTAAAAATAAATAATAAAAAAATGAAATTTTAGGGACGGGCTGTCACAATGTATGAAGGTTTGAATTATTAATCACCGGTTTAAACTATCTAATTGTCTTAATACTTAGCTACCATTAGGATCTTTAGAAAAGTAATTTGATGCAATTTTGGTCGGAGGTCGGTCCTTGAAATTGACGAAGGCTTCTTGTGATTAATATGTGCAAGTTCACTTAGGATGAATACCACATCTTAAGGGTTGTATGGTTTTTTAAAAGGTTTCACAAAGCTTAATTAGTCATGTATGTTTAGATTTGATTTGAATACCAGATGGGTTGCGTGTTTGATATACGCTCTATGTTAAGGGTCCAAGTAGGCATGTGTAATTCATAAGTAATTGGAAGAACTACATAAGATTGTTAAAATGACGGCGGAACCCTAGGTTTACAATTTAATTTTCAAATTTTTTTTTTCTTTTAGTTTATTTTATTTTATCACTTTATTTAATTATTTTCTATTAAATTCGTTTTTATTATTTTAAATCATAAAATTAACATTTTCTCAAACTTTTTTTTAAATAATTAATTAAGATTTGATTTAACATAAATTATTCATTCAATCCTTATGGAGAACGACCTTGCTAGAGTCGCCTCTACTACAATTACCTTGTACTCTTGCAAGTATTTAAAGTGTTTTTATCCTACTTTTTCAGGTGTCTATTAACTCTTAGTTAATTATTATTGTATATATCTTTCTATTTAATTGCTGATTTTGCTTTTGTAGGTTACAAGCAGTGCAACAATGGAATTTGCAATTCCCCTGAATTCAATCTAACACCCAGTGTACCACCTCTTTGGGTTTCATTAGCAAAAACAGGTTATTATGGAGTTAAGCCTACGGTTTGTGCTCTTTGCAATTCAAATATCATGATATTTTGCAATGTCCTGAGAGAGAATATTTTCTAGATTATGTCCAGGAGTATATAAATATAAGAAACGATTCAAAATGGAACTGGAATAATCCCTATTCAAAGATCTATACTCAAAGTTTGAAAGAGCATCTTGAGCAGTATTTTGAGTAGCTTAATGTGCCACAAGAGTTTTCGGTGGAGGACAAACTCTCTAAATTGTTGGAATCAACTGATTTGTACATAGAAATAACCAATCAAGGATTTCAAATTCAAGCAGTAAATTGTGGGAGAAGCTATGATGATCAAGAGGTTGGTGCAGGAACGGAGGACCCATTTGCCTGTTATTCATGCCCAAAGGAGAAAATAGCTGATCCTGCACCTGAACTTATCGCTACCCAGTTTTGTGTGCCACCAGCATTTTTTCCACAAAGGCTGCAAGAAGACATCAGTGTTAATGTGTTGAGGGAGGTTCACACAAATGCAACATTAAGCATGTCACATGGTCAACTTTTCAGCCAGCTAAACAATTTGGATATAGGGCAAATGGTTGTTGATGGGAAAATTTTAGTTGCTATATTGAACAGTGCACCAACATAGCCAATCATACAAGATGGTATTCAGTGCAGGTCATACAAGCAGACTATGATCCACAATGAAACAAAGAAAAAGCTAAATGGCAACCTAATTCTTAGTCAAGAAATTCGGCCAATGCAGAAATTGTGGGTGTTAAATACAAGGTTTAAGTCAGTTCGACGAAAACGTAAACCTTGCTTGAGGGATCCTATTTTATTACAACATTTCATTCACATAGAAGGGCTAACATGAAGGATTCAACCACTTCCCTGAAACACATAATTGACAAACATCATCTCATTTCGTACCTACCGTTGTTGTATGATGCTGTAAAGGCATGGTTGACTCTAAAGGAGCAAGTGACGCGACCATCAATCTTTGTTCCATCCGTCTAGCTATAAACGTTAACTACAACGCTAATTGGGAGGCAACCTAATTTTTCTAACCCTTCTTAATTTCGTTCATTTCATTTTCTTCATTTTTATTCTTTATCAAAAAAAAAAAAGGAAAACACAAAAACAGCAATTGTTTTTAATTAGTATCTTATTTTTGGTTCTATTCTAATTAGATTTTTAATATGTGTTTTTTGCAAGATGCATTTGAATTCGATTGGCCCTAAATATCGAGTACACATGCACTTTTGACGGAATCATGCATTCAGTAGCATTTATATGTTCATTACAACAAATTCATCATCACATTCATAAGAATATTCATGGGAGTCAAATTCAACACAAATACAAGCATAGGATACAGAACGAGCACAGGCAGAGTTCAAGAATGCTTATTTTAGTGGGGATTGCTGAGAAGACCCATGTGTTGTTTGGAACCCCCTTTGAAAACAATTATTTTACATAATAAGTTTGGGGGTGTCCAAGTTGCACAAAGGAAGGCCATTGTTCAATTTCAGCACTTAGATCCAGAATCGTGCAACGCATTTTTTTTTTCTCAACATTCTTATAATAAAGGCATGCATGGACAAAATTTCCACAGGTAAATTACAATTATTAGAGTTCCAAGTGGGCCATCATCCTAATGCTATGAAGAAATCCCAGCCAATACAGTGAAGGAAGCATGTTTTATACCTTTTTAATTCTGAATTTGAGCATCTCGTGAAATCCACCGGTTTCTTGTCCACCGGATCTCAGGTTTGATGTCCTTCATGTTCTTCATCTTTGCTATCACTGTCGCTTCCAGGACCCCTACACAGAAACACACATGCATGAGCTATCTATTCTCTTTCATTGTTTAATCTACACTGTGCTAACGAAATTGAAGGTGGGAAGATGGAGAGTAGTTACCTTTGTGAGGACTGGGGTCTGGAAGAGACAATATGGAGCTTAGATATGCCTTCATTTCATGGCAGAAACTCCTTGGCTTTGGGTTGTGCATAGACGAGAGAGTGTTGAGGTGTAGTTAGGATTAGAGCAAAATAAGAGACAGGGGTGAGAAAATGAGAGAGGAGAGCTATTTTTCATTCTAGAGAGAAATGATGCAATGCAGAAATGCACTCATGGTGTTGGGCTCGAGGACCACACAAATTGAGATAGATAGAGAGAGAGAGAGAAACAAACGGCAGCTGGATTGGTAATGAGAAATGCAGCTGTTAATTCAGCTTATATCAAGGTTCTAAAAAACACTAGGTGCTAGTCGGGCGGCAAGTTAGCGCCTAGCGCCTAGGCGGATTTAGGTTAATTTCTTGTATATCTTGTAAATAAATGTATATTGACACATAAAAAATTATACTTGTATGAAATCCATTGATAAGATAATAAAAGAATGATAAAATACAAAAAGAGTATCCAACAAAGTCTAAAATTTAAAAACATATTAAGCATATATACCATATAACTTAAGACATTTTGAATGATTATATCTATTTTTTTTAAATAAAAGTAAAAATCTAAAGTAGTGGGCTTGATGGTTAATTATAAAACTACTAGGAAGCCATGCCAATTATCCCTTAATGAAACCACACCCATTGGTATCATCGCCGAAATCCTCTCTCTTTTATTTATGATTTTATTAGTGTCCTACTTTGAACTTTGGAGCCAAAACGGGTCAGAGCATGTGTCTTTTATTTATGATTTTATTTGGGTTGGTGACACTTTGAACTTTGAAGCACCAAAATCGATCAGAGCATGCATCCTTCCCCATCAACCGGTCCCATCTCTCTCTCACCTCCCTCACGTCACTCTCTCACTCTCTCTCTAAACCTACACACTCAACCACCAATTCTTATCATCACTCACACATCACCATCATTTTTGTTTTTGAAAACCAGTTCTCTCTCTCTCTCTCTCTCTCTCTCTCTCTCTCTATCTCTCTTTTCGAACTCTCTACCTTCTCTTGAAGCCATCTTTTCCTCTTAGATTACAACTCGCTCTCTTTCTCTCTCCTTTCGAACTCTCTGCCTTCTTTCTAAACCATCGTAGCCAAAGAAAGCTCCAGGCACCATCACCAAAAAATCCAATTAAATCGAGACCTCAAACCACCAAATACAAGACCTGCGCAACCTGGGGATCCCTATGATACCTTTGCATGTTAAATTTTGTGATGGACAGTAGGAGAATCCAAGCAGGGGTTCTCGGTGAGAGTTGCTCTAATGGAATCGAGTTACAACCTTTGAAAATTGAGCTTCTGGCGTGGAGCTCTGGTGAGGGACCCGTCGAACTTGGGGTCCCATGAGCTCGAATTAGTCCCGTTCGAAACTCACATAGCTTAACCCATGCTTTGCATGTTAATTTCAAGTTCAAATTCAAGTTTGCGATTTTGGGTTTCCGTTTGAAATTTCTTCCCAGGAAACCATTTCACTCTGCCTAGACAGCCGCCTAGACTGCCTAGGCTGCCTAAGAGTGCCTAGGCGGGCGCCTAATAGTTCCCTGATTTTTCTTAACGATTCGGACCTAATCACATCTGCACACCTCCGCGCCTAGGCGGCTTTCTAGGCCGATTTTAAGAACACTAGCTTATATAGTTCCAGGTGTAGGCTTTTCACATGAGTGTTTTGCACGTGCAAGGCTCATCGCCTCACCTTGTTCCACCAAGTCACGGGTTTAAATCCAACCTGTAACACTTTTGGGTTTTTATTTTTCAGCACCTTCTTTGATGCTTTCATGTCCCAGCCTCCTAGGTTCAAACCCAAGTGTGTCCACCTCCATTCCCTTTATTTTATTTTTTTATTTTCGAGTTTTATTTATCGTCTTTCTATTTCTAGTTAATTAAGGTGGTTGTTTATTTTTATTTTGCTGGTTTAGTTTATTTTTGCTTTTTTTCTATTTTCCACACCTTGAGGACAAAGTGTGAAATACGTTTGGGGGTGGGGAAGTAGAATTTTAGGGTTTTAATGTTTGTGTCAAGTTAAAAATTTCATTCTTTTTAAGTTAATATTCATAGATTATTTTAAACGGTTGAACAAATGGACATTGTGAAGATTAATCCCACATTAGAGTCTCCTCCATTTATTGTTGCTTAGACACCAATTCATGAGTTATAATTTGAAAATTTGCACATTCACATCAACATGGTTTGTGGGGAGTGAGATTGAAGCACTTACTTTTAGTCTAAGTTTATTTTTTTTTATTTTTGTTTAAAGTAAAGTTAGTTATTGTTATAAAGTAATAATTGTTCCACCCGAGACTTTACCTAGTAACCGGGCCAGTCCTGATCGACAGTGATTCTTGCGTCAAACGATATAGTTTTGGCATGGGGCAGGGTGGTTAGTTGGTTTCGTAGCTTTTTCAGCTCGAGTTAGTAAGCTCTTAGGAGTGTTCTACACCTAGTGCCTTAAAGCCTTTGTAGTTTGGGAGTGATTGACTTACAGCTCGTTACATGGGTTGGATAGAAAGCTTAAAGGAACCGACATTGTATGACCATTACTGTTACTGAAAAAAATAATAAAAAAATGAGAAAATTTTGAAAAGAAGAAAGGAAAATGAAAAAAAAAAATAGTTATATTTAAATTTAGTATGTGTGAAATAAAGAAGGACAAGTGGTAAGGGTTTTAGTCAAGTTTCCTTAGTTATGTTGGTTCACTTTAAGCCAAAGGAAGTTCATGAATTCTTTTCTAATTAATTATAAATGGCTTAGACTCTGTAGTGAGATTAGTTGAAACTTTTGAAAAGATGTTCTAATTTTTAATATTTTCTATGGATTGCAACTTGAAGGTGAAAATTGTCTTAATTAATTTTTGTCTAAGTTTTTAGTTTGTTAGTTTTTTTTTCTAGTTTTGTTTTTCTTGAGGACAAGCAAAAAGCTAAGTTTGGGGGTATTTGATGAGTCGATATTATACTATATATTTTACCCTAATCTTAGTAATAATGTATTGGTTATTATGTGTAAATTTTGATACTTTGAATTATATTTCTAATGTAGGACATTCGACTTCCTCTGGAACAAAAAGTGACCAAATGGATGAATTTTGGAGTAATTCCAATTGGAGGATGTTGGTGATTCTTCCAAGATAATTGTATCAAAGTTTCAGATTTTTTTACTTAGCCGTTTGACCGTGGTGATGAAATAAAGGCCCAGCGCGCAGCTTTCCTAGATTGACATTTCTGGACGTTTTGGGTATTTTAGAGGTCAAGAGGGCATATTTTGAGGAAGATTCCTTCTGAGGATTTGTAGGGAACGACTTCAAATTTCAAAAGAGACCTTTTACGACCAAATCAGAGTTGATTTGTTAGGTCAAAAGTCTGATTTTCTGAGAAGTCCGAATTGTAGTTCAAATAGGAAACCTTTTTATTTTCTGTGTTATTATTCAATTATGTTTCCTAGTTTTACTCTAAGATTTTTTAAGGTTTTATTTTGTATTAGTATAATAAAATATTTAGCCATTAGGGTAAGTAGGAGAAGAGAGGAGAAAATGCATGCACACTTTAGAGAGCTTTTGGATTCAAGTTTATTTTCAAGATGTTTTCTATCCTTGTTTGTAAAAATATTTCGTTGTATGATTGCTAGTAACTAAATTCCATTTGCTAGGGTAAGGCCACGAGCTTTAGCAAGAATATGTAGTTTCTTTTCAATTTACTTATGATATTATGTATGCAGGTTTGAATTATTAATCACCGGTTTAAACTATCTAATTGTCTTAATGCTTAGATACCATTAGGATCTTTAGAAAAGTAATTTGATGCAATTTTGGTAGGAGGTCGGTCCCTGAAATTGACGAAGACTTCTTGTGATTAATATGTGCAAGTTCACTTAAGATGAATACCATGTCTTAAGGGTTGTATGGTTTTTCAAAAGGTTTCACAAAGCTTAATGAGTCATGCATGTTTAGATTTGATCTGAATACCACAGAAAGGTTGCATGTTTGATATACGCTCGATGTTGGGGGGTCCAAGTATGCATATATTAGGAATACCTAACCTTCAAAATATGCATGTGTAATTCATAAGTAATTGGAAGAACTACATAGGATTGTTAAGGTGACGGTGGAATCCTAGGTTTTTACAATTTAATTTTCAAAAAATTGTTTTCTTTTAGTTTATTTTATTTTATCACTGTATTTAATTATTTTCTATTAAATTCGTTTTTATTATTTAAATCACAAAATCAACATTTTCTCAAACTTTGTTTTAAATAATTAATTAAGATTTGATTTAACATAAATTATTCATTCAATCCCTGTAGCAAGAATGTGACAACCCGTCCCTAAAATTTCGTTTTTATTTATCGAGGGAATTGACAAAAATGTCTAGAGGCAAGGATTTTGATTTCGGTTGACCATCGTCTGGAAGAACGTATGACTTATTCTTTTGGCGTATTTGCGTAGTACCCGATGGTATGAACGCATAGGCGAAAGCCGTTTGCGAGTCTGGATTATAACGGTATAGTTACGGACAATTGAAATCGGTTACTTGTTAGTTTAATTTTGAACTCCCACCAGGTGGGAATAGTGGACCAATTAAATTAAAGGAACAATGAACCAATTAGAAGAGAGGGAGAGGGCAACAGCCCAATCAGAAAACAGGAAAAGAAGAAAGAAAAAAAAAACAGGAAAGCTCCCAACTTTCCGTGCACCTGCACCCACACCCATTGCGACCGCGCATCTTCCAAGGCCAATTCCGGCCAACTCCGATGGAGTTTTTCGACACCACCACCACCATCATGAAGCTCTCATTCCCCTCTACAAAACCCACCCAAGAACCACCTTTAGAAATGATAGGATCAGACATGGTATAAAAGGGAAATTGCAAGAAAAGTAATGCAGGAAATAGAAAAGGAAATCAAAGGAAATTCATATTTTCATTCATGCCCTCTTTACATCATAAAAGGGGTTTAAATACATCCAAAGATAGCTAGGGTTTGAGGTATGGATGGGCATAATAGTATTACCTAAATAGTGGGCCTAATGGGTAGTAATGACAATAGATAGTCTAACTAGTTATAACCAAAGCCCAATAGCTTAGAGTCGCATGAATCCCACCCCCTTAAGATGAGGCTTGTCCTCAAGCCTCTCAAACTGAGAAAGACGCATGCAGCAGTCAGGGAAAGAAGCCAGCCAATTTGGATAATGGTGTACCATACTCATACTCAGTATTAGCTTCAGTGTGTACTTCCAAAAAACAAAG